GACAGGCTCAAACTAAGGTTTATATATAAGAGGTTGTCTAGGTTCGTACGCAACCATACTGCGCATTACGTCACATGTGGAAAATAATACCGCCAAGCAATTCAAATTAAACAAAGGCATGGAGCACCACATGGCCATGAGGTTGCGTGCGCAATCCGTGATCGCTTACGTCACGAAACACTCCTGCTCTTGCCCCTCGCCCACAAACTAAAATCAAAGTATTGCAGCATAGGAACTTAGACAACCTTTAATATATAAACCTTGCCTATGTCCTACCTCAGACCATTCTCGCCATGCCCGTTGCACTGCAAACTGAAATTACGAGGAAGTGTGAAATTGGAAGGGTACAATAGATTTAGAATTGGTTTACAATAGAGATAATAATGCTTTGCCATTTGTTTGCTATGTTGATTCGGACTATGGTGAAGATTATCATGACAGAAAAGCAATTAGTGGTTATTTAATTAAAATTTATGGGGTAACTAAAAAACAAAATTGTGTAGCTTTATCTAGCACCGAAGCGGAATTTGTTGCATTATGTTCGGCACTACAGAAATGTTTATGGTATAAAAAATTTTAATAGACCTAAACATCACCATATGTGACACTCTGCCCAACACGATATCTCTTACTCCAAGAAACGAAAGCATTGATCTGCTATGATCTTTTCTGCATTAAATTTGATAATATGAGCTATTGCATAGTAAGCTTTGTTATCGAGGAGTCTTTTTCTTTGTATATCCCTAACCTGTAACCATCCAGTAACATGTTTTAAAAAACTTTTTTATTACAATAAAAACTGTCGCTTTATTCTTTTCACTCAATTTTATACCAAGAGTAAACTAGCTCGTTTTTATACATTCAAAAAGCGGATAAAATCGTCTGAGGAGATTCCCAGGAATTGTGAAACAAACGTTCCCAGGTCGACGTAAAGGCAATTACACGCTTAGAAAGTGTTAATATTTAATTAACACCACTCGCGGTGTGCTCTTTCACCTTGATTCAATTTTGAATTTTCTTCCATTTATTTTAATTCATGCGTATTAATTAACTTATTATTATATTTTACATTTTAAAATTATTCGATTTTTATTGAGGACGTTGGTTAGAATTTAACGCCTTTAACGACTTCATTAGGTAAGAAATTTGACTTACATGAGGCGTTACAAATGAGATCGTTGAGAGATAAATGAGACCAAAACTGTTTTTCTTGCGGTCGAGTGTTCGTCGTTGCGCAAAAGTGCTCTGCAATTTATCTTTCTCGGTTGCGACGACGCCAAAGAAAACCAAAACGAAAGAGAACAATGCGGAGGTTCTCTAATTGTAGGAAGTTGTGCGAAATTGCGGATCTCTTACTTGTTTCTTAGATAATTGATTTTTACCTCGAAATTTACTTATCTTAGTTCTTTTTCTGTTTCAGGTGTTCTTCGATTTTGAGGGAGATTTTTAATAAAATGAGGTATTCCATTTATAGATTTGGTAAGTGATTTATGATTTATAAAATTAATGATAACGATTGTTATGGTTGTTGTAGTGGGTTTTATAAATTGTAGCAGGAATGTATAATAATAACAAGGGCTTGGTAATTTGTTACGATAAATCGTGGATAATTTTATTCAAAGTTATTCTATGCAAATTTCAATAACAAAGTTATTTTTTTAAATTTTTTTCTTGCAGGTTTTGCGACACTCTTCTATGCTGTATTGTTTTTAACTGTAAGTAAATTCAATAAAACTTTATTAAGAGAGGATAAATCTATTTTATTTTTTTTTAGACACCAGAAGAAGTTTCGTCGAATCAAAAATCGAACGAATTCGACGAATTTGTTTATTATCAAGGTATTATAAATCTTTAGAGAAACGTTTTATATAGACGATTAATTTTGTGTTGTTGTAGGGGTCCAAGGAAGACCAGGAATTGATTTTCCAGTATTTGCTCGAATTCCCAGAACAGGATTTAGTTGTAAACAAGTTCCTTCAGGTTATTACGCCGATTTAGAAACAGATTGTCAAGTAAGATATTTTTTTATAACAATCAATAGAAATCTTGTGGTTTCTACTTCTTCTAGAGATCGATTTCTTTTAAATGATTTGATAGAAAAATTAGAGGAGTTTGAAATTAAATGTAATTATCATTTTCTCCTTTAAGGTGTTCCACATTTGTAACGAAGGAAGCAAGATTTCGTTTTTGTGCCCAAACGGCACGATTTTCCAACAGTCCGATTTAATTTGCGAATGGTGGTTTAAAGTAAATTGCACGAATTCGCCCAATTTGTACGAGGAAAGCGCCGAACAATTACTGGAGGAATCGTGGAGGAGGAAAGAAAATCGAAGACCCGGTTACCAAAATCGTTTAGCTAACGAAGAAAAGGAAAAAAAGAAAAATTTCGTTGCTACTAATCAAAGCAAAAGGAAAAATTTAGGGAATTCTTTGAATAAACAAGTCAATTTAAACCCTTTTTCGGTTAATAATCAAAATCGCGAAGCTAAAATTGCAAGAAAAGAACAACAAAATCAAAGTCAAAGTCGGGGGAATCAAAAATACAAGAGACCGATCAATTTGAAGGGGAAAAATGATTTGAATTTGGAAGATTCGAGCGAGGAGAGCCAGGTTTTGGCGGAAACCGCTTCTTTTTATGATAATAATAATCAAAACGTTATTCATAGCACTGATAAGATTGCGTTGGGAAGGAAAGGTTTGAATCAAAATCAAAATAATCAAGCGAATCAAGGCAATGTTGGTCGTAAAATAAAAATTAATAGGAATCGTAATCAAAAATTGAATGAAAATAATCAAAATCAAAATTTGAATCAACATTCGAGGTCGAAATCGAGTCAAAATTTGAATCAAAATCAAAATTTGAATAAGAATTCTGATCAAAATCAATTTTCTAGTTCTAAATTCGATCAAAAATTGTTTTCGAATCCTGTCGAAAGTTTTAATCAAAATTTAAATCAAAATAATCATAATTTAGATCAAAATAATCACAATTTAAATCAAAATTTGAACCATAATGATCAAAGTGGACGAAATTTGAATCAAAATGGTCGAAATTTGAATCAAAATGGTCGAAATTTGAACCAAAATAATCAAAAATTAAATCAAAATGATCAAAGTGGTCAAAATTTGAATCAAAATGGCCGAAATTTGAATCAAAATAAACTAAATAACCGAAATTTGTATCAAAATAACCAAGATTTGGATCAAAATAATCAAAATGAACGAAACTTAAATGAAAATGGTCGAAATTTGAACCAAAATGATCAAAGTGGTCGAAATTTGAATCAAAATAATCAAAATGGCCGAAATTTGTATCAAAATGGCCAAAATTTTAACGATAATGATCAAAATGGACGAAATTTGAATGAAAATGATCAAAAATTGAACCAAAATGATCAAAGTGGTCGAAATTTGAATCAAAATAATCAAAATGGCCGAAATTTGTATAAAAATGGCCAAAATTTGAACCATAATGATCAAAATGGACGAAATTTGAATGAAAATGATCAAAAATTAAACCAAAATGATCAAAGTGGTCGAAATTTGAATAAAAATAATCAAAATGGCCGAAATTTGTATAAAAATGGCCATAATTTGAACCATAATGATCAAAATGGACGAAATTTGAATGAAAATGGTGGAAATTTGAACCAAAATGTTCAAAATGGCAAAAATTTGAACCATAATGATAAAAATGGACGAAATTTGAATGAAAATGGTCGAAATTTGAACCAAAATGATCAAAATGGCCGAAGTTTGTATCAAAATGGCAAAAATTTGAATGAAAATGGGCGAAATTTGAACCAAAATGATCAAATTGGTCAAAATTTCAATCAAAATAATCAAAATGGCCAGAATTTGAACAAAAATGATCAAAGCGGTCGAAATTTGAACCAAAATAATCAAAATGGCCGAAATTTGAACGAAAATGATAAAAATTTGAATCAAAATGATCACAATTTGAAATCAAATTTGAATAATCAAAACTTGAATCATAATTTAAATAAAGATTTGCATTTTAATTCAGAAATAGGTGATGATTTAAGTCAAAATAACGAAAAATCAAAAATAAATACTCAAAATGATCATTTTATTAATCAAGAAAATGATCAAAATCACCCACACTATCCAAATCATAAAACAAGTCAAGAATTAAATGATAATCCAACTGTTACATTTACAAGAAGTGAAACACAACAATATTCTGATGAATTTACAACCGAATCAAATCAAAAATTAACTGGTTATAATCAAAATAATTTGAATAATGAGTTTATAACAACAGAATTTAATCAAAATAACCAAGATGTCTCAACGAATCAAAATGAAAATGGGTTTACAACAAATAAACCTTTTGAAACGACGATTAATACTCAAACGGATCAAAATCAGAATCAGTATGAAGATCAACGTAACGAAGAAAGTTTGACAACGAAGGAATTTTATCCGAATCATAAAGAAATTTATACTGAAGTTCGCGAACCTAAGTTTTTATCAACGAAAGCTTACACAACCGGGCCTCAAACGATTCCTCCTCAAACAGTTTCCACGAATCGTATTCCATTGAACGATGGAAAACCTTTCGTAGTGAGCACTCCAAAATCATCTTATAACATCAAAGAATTCACAACGGAGAATTTCTTTTATTCGCCGACGATTCCACCCTTTACAACGACGACGAAAAATTTAATTTTTAATAATCAAGATGAATCGAATAAAGAAGAAATAACCGTTTCAGAACCTTACAGTAACGTTGTAACAGAAAATGTTAATCAAAATAAAAACAATTTGAAGTTAGAAAATAAATTTGATAACAATGAAAAGATTCACGTGGTGAATTCGATTCCTGTTATAACCGAAAACGCAAATAAAACCGAATTCGTAAGAATTTCATCGTCACTCCCACAAAAAGAAAAACCCGAACGGATCAAAATTAACGTTTCAACGAATTTACAAAAACCTGAAAATCAAAATCCTTCTTCGGAATCTTCCCCCATTATTTACAGGCGATATTCAGCGGCGATTTCGCAAGCTGAAAATCCAAATAACGCGTGTATCGATGAAATCGTTAACAGGAAAGGGACAACGCGAGCTCCAAAAACGACGAAATTAATTAATTTGGAAGAAATAACGACAAAAACGTATTCGGGGACGAAAAAACCCGACTTTGAAATAGTCGTTGGAAGAAAACGAACGGAGCAAGACTCGAAGGTTTTTAAAATTTCCAAATATCCCGATATCCAAAAGCCGAGGTCGTTTGAAAAAGCCACCGAATCATCGATTTATCGGGTTAATGTTAAAAATCAAGAAATTGAGAGAGTCACGGAAAATAATTTTTCGCTAAAACCAACTGGGTTTTATGTGACTAAATCTTATGATGGTGAAGTAATAACGCGATTTGGAGCTGGGAATACTTATTTGCCTAAATCAACCACTCCAAACTCTTCAATTAATTCGAAAAAATCGAAATCTTTATTAATAAAATCAAATGATGAAGAATTTGATGCTTTAAATGATGATTTTGATATCATTCAAAAACCGAAACCGTTTGAGTTACCTCCTAAATTAACTTCGAATGTTTCAACGAAACCTAATTTAAATACAATTGATTCATCTCCTAATTATGAAATATCATCAGCCAGACCGTTTGAAACGACAATAACCCCAACTCAACCCACAATTTTCCCCTCAAGAACCCCAAAAGTTTACGAACACGTCACAAATATGTTAACGAGCATCAAAGATTTGATTAAAACGGTGAATAAAAATGAAAGTGATGAATCCCGCGAAGGATTAATAGTCCCCCCTTCCGCTGGCCCACAAACTTTACATTCATTAGCCGTTTATTTTGCAAACGCCCTCGAAGGTGTTGGTGATCACGAAAATTTTAGCCAAAACGATGATGAGATTACAACAGAAAATGATGAAAATAACAAAAAAGATATTGAGTTATTATCGATTCCTACATTGAATAGGTACAAAGATTTATTTAAAGAGGATGAAGAGACAACTCAAAGCGTAACTGAAGATAACGATCTCGAGGGGCAACACACAAAGAATGGGGTTGTTACGCCGAGGGTGAGGCAGTTAGCTCAAGTTTTTACGAAAGCTTTAAGTTCTTATTTAGACGATCCAGAAATGTTTAGGAAATATTTGCAAGACGTTCGCCCAACGGAACCAATAATCAAAGAAAATTTAAGTCGTACAACTCAAAGAAGTATCGATAACACCGAAGAAGACGAATTATTAAATTATTCCGACGCCGATATAAAACCAGAACTCCCCAAATTATCAACAACAACCCCATCGATTAGCCCAACTTGGGGTTATCTTTTAGCAAAGAATAACACAAATAATTTCGAATACAACTCATTAAGCACTGATGGCGAGAACTTACAAAGCGCGGATAGCCAAAGTTTCGTATCACAATTTAATAATTATATTAAAGAAAAACATTTTGCAACAACCCCTTTAAACAAAAAAGAAAATTTATTTAAAGATAAATTATATTCGAACCCCCTAGCCATAAACGACGATTTAGACGGTACAAAACCAACTTTAGAATCAACCGAAATTAATTACGAATTAAGAACGTTACCGAAAATCGAATTAAACTCGACTCAAGTTCACGGGATTTTAATTGATTTTATGAATACAACCACAAAGAATGAAAATTCGCGTTTAATTCGGATTTTATCGAAATTAAATACGACCCAAGATGAGTTTTTGAATAAAATGCGCGAAATCGAACAAAATCCGCTCACGAGGAGATTAATTTTATTGTTAATTAGTGAATGTGCTGGAAATGTTACTGATAATCATAATGATAATTTGGAAAATGATGGTTACGTTTCTTCTAGTGAAAATAAATCAAAAATTGATTATTCATCGAAATTGGATTTGTTTGATTCTTCTCGCGTGGCGGAAAATGATAAGCATGTTAGCAAAAATTCGGCGATACCGAAATTTGTTGATCAAACTTTGAAAGATGAAGATGAAGATACTCGAGCTTTGGAGTTGTTGAATTCTTTGTATACTATTGCTTCAAGATATGGAAAATGATTTATTGGAATTAAAATTTGATTATGTGTAGGAAAAATAATATTTATATTTAAAAAAAAACTTGTTTTTCTAATTTTATTTGTTAATTAATTAATGTATCTTCTTCAATTAATTTTTAATCTAACAATTTTGGTGATATTAGAGCATCTTTACGTTTTTTGGCATTTCTTATCGTTAGTTCTTGTTTTAATACTTGGATATTTTCCATTCAATTCCTATGCAATCGTTCGATGTATTTAGTTTTTATAAAATGAATAAGGTGTGTGTGTGAATGATATTAATCGTTTTTTTTTTTAAATTTTGAGTGAATAATTTATATTTTGAATTAAAATATTAAATTAATAATCAATTCGGAAATGGATATTAAAATTAATTATTTTGTATTTAAAATTTTAATGATTTTGTATAATATAAGGTAATATTGTATATTTTTTCTGTAAATAAAACTTCTTTTTGTATAATATTAGTTTCAATTTCAAAACACTTAATTTTCTTGACTTACAACTTAAGAATATAAATAATAAGATCTGTTTTGATATCTTTCGAAAACCGACTAATGTCAATACAATTCCATATGATTCCTCTCATCCTTTATCCCATAAATTGGCGAACTTCCGTTTTTTATTCAATAGAGCCCTCAACTACCCACTTTCTAAAGAAGATAGAACAAAAGAATTTACCTACATTTATAAACTTGCCATGACCAATAACTTTCCAAATTAAATTATTAATAAACTCCTATATAAAATAAAACTTCAGAAAGATCCATTATACTTAAAATGTACAGAACCTAAGATTTACAAACCTATACCTTTTAATAATATTACATTACAGTCCAAAAATATTTTTTCTAAGTATAATTTATCGTTGGCTTTTTCCAATAATAATTCTATCCTGGAATTACTCTCAAATTGTCATATGGAGAAGATAGACACTTTTGACAAATGCGGTGTTTATTCTATAGAATGTTCTAACTGTGATGGAATATACATAGGACAAACAGGAAGAAGATTAGGCATACGAATACAAGAACACAAGAATAAATGTAATTCAAATGTCTACAGATATCACTCTGACACTGGACACATAATAAATTAATTATAATGTTAAAATCATTCATCAATGTAGTAAAGGTCCAAAAATGGACTTACTAGAACAATATGAAATTTATAAATTCAAGAGAAAAAAAGAATACACATTATTGAATGATCAAATCGACATTGAATATAACCCTTTATTTAAATATTTAAAAGATTCTCTATACAGGGTGATTCATTAGCTCTATGACAAACTTTGGCAGATGAAAGGTGATGCGATTCTAAGGAAAAAATGTTATATGAATATGGGTCCGATTCATTTTGGTTAAAGAGTTACAAGCCTTTGAAAATTTTACACAGTTTAATAGGCAAATGAAAATGTAACATAAAAAATAAGTTTAAAAATTACAAAAATTGTTCGAAATGGCCGCCTTCAGCTTGAATGCACGCTTCACATCGACGAAGTAAAGATTTGCAACAATAATTATGAAACACAAATACAGAGTTGGCTGTGATAACAAAACTGAGTTCTTTATGTCAAACATTTCAATTTACTCTATTCTGTGTGTTTCAAAGTTTATAATTGTCAGAGTTTTGATCGAAAACGAAAATGCATGTATTTACGACTGAAGAACTGCATTCCGTTCGTCCCCATGATGTGAATGTACAAAATGAAGAACGTGTTATTGATTTAGTACTTGACGACCCTTCAATTAGTACGTATAGCGAGCATGTTACAAATATCCCAAAGTTTTGTATGGCGTGTATTGAATCGAGAAATGTTACATCCGTTTCATCGCCAAAATGTTCAAGCATTACATCCTGGAGATACTGAGCAACGCTTAGCATTTTGCCACTGGATTATTCAGCAACATGCTCAAAATAATAACTTCATTTCCCAAGTTCTGTGGTCTGATGAAGCGTGTTTCACTAGGGACGGCATAAATAATTATCATAACGAACATGTGTGGTCCTTGCAAAATCCACATGCAATTAGACCAGGAAGATTTCAGCAACGGTTTAGTGTAAACGTTTGGGGTGGCATTTTTAACAATTCTTTGCTACCTGTATGGGTGATAAATGAACGCTTAAATGCAAATATGTACAGAAATTTCTTGGGACATAACCTTTTCGATTTTATCGACGACGTACCACTTAACATCGTTCAAAATATGTGGTATCAGCACGATGGTGCACCACCACATCGAGGAAGAGAAGTCATCGCTTGGTTACATGAACATTTTCCAAACAAATGGATTGGCAATGGAGGTCCAGTAGTCTGGCCACGACGATCCCCAGATCTAAATCCGCTGGATTATTATTTCTGGGGACACATGGAGCAGCTTGTGTACCATGTAGAAATTACTACCCGTCAGCAACTACTGGACAGAATTCAAGATGCAGCTAATAGCATACGGAATGATCCAAATATCTTTACTTCGTCGATGTGAGGTGTGCATTCAAGCTGAAGGCGGACATTTCGAACAATTTTTGTAATTTTTAAACTTATTTTTTATGTTACATTTTCATTTCCCTATTAAACTGTGTAAAATTTTCAAAGGCTTGTAACTCTTTAACCAAAATGAATCGGACCCATATTCATATAACATTTTTTCCTTAGAATCGCATCACCTTTCATCTGCCAAAGTTTGTCATAGAGCTAATGAATCACCCTGTATAGTGTGATGCGAATTATGTTATTTATTGGTTATATTTTTTATTGTCTGTAATTTTTCTTAAAAATTCATATCGTTTTTCGTTTAGGCTCTTGTATCCGGTTTCATTTTTCTGTTTCATAGTCGTTTTTCTCGTGCTCATGTCAAGTTTTGTTCGTGCGTTTCGTTCTTTTTAAAGTGTTTTACATTATTTTATCTATACAATTTTATTTATATACTGTGTTTTTAACTTTAATGTTCACAATAACATACATCATTACTGTTTGATATATTTCAATGTGTACTCTTTTCATAATTTTTGTTTTAATGACGTCGTGGGTTACTTTTTAACTATTTGACAGTAAGTTTATGATTGTAATATTTTTATTATGTTTCTCATTATATTTAATTGATCGTAATGTAATTTTTACGTAGATTCGGATGATGATGGGCTAAGCTCGAAACCGGTTCCGAATAAATTGATATTAAGCAAGTAAGAAGTTTTTTATATAGTTTAAATTTTCCTTGGAAAGTTTTCCACCGCTACATTTTCAGACTTAAAAGCAAGTGTTTTGTTCGGTAAAGCTTTGAAGAAAAGGCCAGTTTCGTCGGCGTTGAACACATCTTCTAGCCTAGACTTAAAAATTAACGTGGCTCTTACGCTATTTTTTCAGCCAACCATTGGATGTCCGAAAGTTGACAACATTTAATTTTTGTGCTATTTCATGAGCTTTGGCCTTCACTAAACGTCCCGAATGTTTTGGCTACGACCACGAGAAAACCAATTAAAACACACGTTGTCAATTTGAAGTCTGCCAGTTTTCAAAAAACCACTTTTTTGACCGGCATTGCTTCCTGACTTCTGACTGTAGATGAATATTATTTATATTCTAAACAATTTCCGCGGCTTGAGTTTTTCCGATATTAAATTTTTCGGCGAGCTTCCGTACTGACAATTGTTCCTTTACCGAAACGTTAACAACTTCCATTTTTTCACGCAAACTAAGAAGTTTTTTGCTAGGCGCTATTTCAAAAATCTCTAGCACTCAATATTTGCACAATAGAAAGAAAACAAGCAGTAAAGCAAGCAACAATCGCACAGAAACTAAATAAATACGACAGAAAAGAAAGATTTAGTTTCTGACTTGTAAAACGAACGGAAATAGATAATTGCAATACCAATACTGTGATATTGGTTGCATACTTGCAATGATGACGTCGGGCAAGGTCTATAGAACATAAGATTACCCAATGCCGATTCTCCTCCTCTGAGAGGCAAGGTGGGTCAGTGACGTAGCTGGTTCTATGAACCACACAACACGATGCGATGTTTAAATATTTTATATAGACTGTACTACAGTATAGGCTATCTTTTACTCAACTCACTTAGGTCTTCTGCAGACGGAGCAGCTCGTCATAGACGCGTATTAGACGCGATTGTAAGAAGGCGTACGCTTCAGTGCATTTCACGTATTTCTAAATGAAAATCTGCAGATGACGACGTAGCGTCGCGATTTCGTCCACCAAAGGCCTTCTGCACACGGAGCTGCTCATCATAGACGCGTATTAGACACGATTGTAGGACGACATACGCTTCATTACATCTCTTGTGTTTTTAAATGAAAACCTGCACATGGCGACGCATCGTCGCGATCTGGTTTGAACATGCAAGCTGCATAGCGGCCGGCGTACAGCAGTGTTGGTCGCTTGGCATAGAGGTAATGACGTATAAATAAAATAATAAGTAAAAATGGAAGATAAAAGCGATCAAACGGTGAAATTTAAACAAAGGTGCTGGCTAGGGACAACAGATACTACCAAACACTGACAAGAGAAGCCATAGAGATCCACCGACATAAAAATAACGTAAACAGAGAGGATGGCTGGGAGCTAGCAGAACATGGAAGATGGTGGTGAACACGAAGATCTCTTCCCTCCTCACACCGGACGCGTCGCAATTAGTTACTAATTAGCTTGTAATTAGCGTTAACTGATTATTAATTAGTTTTTCCGACTTATATACAGTTACCGATTTTTGATCTCGTCACTTTGAACCAGTTTCTGAAGAAGGTTGCAACATGGCATCCGAAACGTCAAACCTTTTCTTAAAAGACGCACGGCAAAACCCGAAAGTTTCTAGTGTTAGTTCTAGTTTTTGTTCTAATTTTAGTTTAATTCACACCGGCCGTGAAAGCCTTCGTAGTTATAGAATGATAATTTTTATGATTTAAAGTTGGTGGATCCGGAATTTGGATATTTCTCAATGCGGATATGTTTACCGTCAATTGCTCCTAAACAGTTTGGCAACTGCCATAGCTCACAAAATCTACTTGCTATTTGTTTCCATTTTTCTGTATTTGGTAACGACATATATGGCTTCTTCAACACATTCCATATCGCTTTTGTAGTTTGTTCTACAATACTTCCCACGGTACGTTCACCTCTTTGAAAATATAGAGATAGAGCAGTAAATGTACATCCAGTAGCTAAATATCTAAAACAAAAAAATAGTTGTATATATTATATGAAAAACACGCTACATTTGCTTATAAACTCGTGATTTTTTTATAGCGGCAGATTGTAAAGACAAATGGAAAAACAGTCAAAATGGTTTTGTACGCAGCCTTAAACCATCTGCGAGTAGATCATCAGCAAAATCTAAAAAATCTTACTATTTGCATGACATTATGCAGTTTGTCTTGCCATATGTAAGACCCATATGTAAGAAAGTGAAATAGTAACAGAGATCGACGAAGGCAATACTGAACCTCAGTTAAGTAATACCCTGCTTGAAGAAAATAAAAACGATAACGTCACGAAATCTTCTGAAGAATGTTCTTTTAACATTAAGAAAAGAAAGAGAAGACAGGTAGAGGACAAATATGAAATCGATCACGCTATTTTAGACTATATCAAAGAAAAGAAAAGTAATAAGACTTTACATGACGATCGAAGGATGTTTCTTTTGAGTTTATTACCCGACATAAAGAACTTATCAGACAAAAATATGCGACAATTTAAAATTAAAACACTTGTATTGCTAGAATAACTGTTAACGCAGCAAGAGCAATCTATAGATTATTTTCAAATGCACGATAACGCACAAAACAATCACGCTCCCTCGCCGATTAGTATTGCGTCGTCTTCAGCTTCCAGTATTTATGATACCACGGATGGATACACAATTCATAATTTGGAAAGTTTACCTGTAGTAGTAATATAAATGACCAAAATAATTTTCTTTAAAAATTAAATATATAACTTGTATTATTGTTTTTATAATAAATAAATTACTTTACTTACCTTAGCGTTATCAAAATTCTCTCTTCTGCACTAACACATTCACGCATGTTGGTATTTTGTTTTTGAATGGTGAGACCTACAATTAACACAAGTTCTTTAACCCTTTGTGTCCCGACGGTACTTTAAAGTACCAATAGTTTTAAACACTCATTTTAAAAAGCATTCAGCTTTAATTTAAAATAAGTCTCATTCCTTAATTTCAATAAACACGGCTTCCAGCAATTTTTAAATTAGCATCTTTTTTGACACTTTTAGGTTATACGAAAATGTAAGTTTTGTTTCAATATTCTTTTTCTTAATATTTTTCCGATCCAACCCAACGATTATTATAGATCATTTAAAACAAAGCATTGAGCTTTAATTTAAAATAAGTCTCATTCCTGAATTACCATAAACACGGCTTTCAGAAATTTTTAAATTAGTATCTTTTTTGACACTTTTAGGTTATACGAAAATGTAAGTTTTATTTCAACATTTTTTTTCTCAATATTTTTCCAATCCAACCCAACAATTATTATACATCATCTTAAAGAGAAAGCTTTCAGCTTTAATTTAGCATAAGTTTCATTCCTTAATTTCAATAAACATAGCTTCCAGCAATTTTTAAATTAACATCTTTTTTGACACTTTTAGGTTATACGTAAATATAAGTTTTATTTAAACTTTTTTTTTCTCAATATTTTTCCAATCCAACCCAACAATTATTATACATCATTTTAAAGAGAAAGCTTTGAGCTTTAATTTAGAATAAGTCTCATTCCTTAATTTCAATAAATACGGCTTCCAGGAATTTTTAAATTAGCATCTTTTTTGACACTTTTAGGTTATACGAAAATGTAAGTTTTGTTTCAACATTTTTTTTCTCAATATTTTTCCAATCCAACCCAACAATTATTATACATCATTTTAAAGAGAAAGCTTTGAGCTTTAATTTAGAATAAGTCTCATTCCTTAATTTCAATAAATACGGCTTCCAGGAATTTTTAAATTAGCATCTTTTTTGACACTTTTAGGTTATACGAAAATGTAAGTTTTGTTTCAACATTTTTTTTCTCTATATTTTTCCAATCCAACCCAACAATTATTATACATCATTTTAAAGAGAAAGCTTTGAGCTTTAATTTAAAATAAGTTTCATTCCTTAATTTCAATAAATACGGCTTCCAGGAATTTTTAAATTAGCATCTTTTTTGACACTTTTAGGTTATACGAAAATGTAAGTTTTGTTTCAACATTTTTTTTCTCTATATTTTTCCAATCCAACCCAACAATTATTATACATCATTTTAAAGAGAAAGCTTTGAGCTTTAATTTAAAATAAGTTTCATTCCTTAATTTCAATAAATACGGCTTCCAGGAATTTTTAAATTAGCATCTTTTTTGACACTTTTAGGTTATTCGAAAATGTAAGTTTTGTTTCAAAATTTTTTTTCTCTATATTTTTCCAATCCAACCCAACAATTATTATACATCATTTTAAAGAGAAAGCTTTGAGCTTTAATTTAGAATAAGTTTCATTCCTTAATTTCAATAAACACAGCTTCCAGGAATTTTTAAATTAGCATCTTTTTTGACACTTAGATTATGCGAAAATGTTAGTTTTTGCTCAATATGCTTTTTCTCAATATTCTATCAGATTTTCGTGGTTCTGTAGCTACAGGTCTGATACATAAATATTCAAATTTACTGCGTCCACGAAAATGTCGTAGCGCAAGCTCAAAAGAAAGAGTAAGTTGTGAAAACTGTTCTGCCAAAGATAGACCCCACTCAAAATATACTGCGTGCAATGTTTATTTATGTTGTAATGAAAGAAAGATCTGTTTTTCTGAATATCATAATGTGATTTAGCTAAAGCAAGTGTTACTTATTTTCTAACTTAATAAAAAAAGTATTATTTTTATATTGGCAATAAAAGCTTTTGTTTACTGCAACATCACTGCAATGGGGGGATTGCATATTTTGCTAAAATTGATTCCAAAAGCCTTTACTGAGTGTATTTTGATAGCGTTTTAATTCTATCACAAAGTTTCAAAATTTTTGACTTCTTGGGACACAAACGGTTAAATGTATTTTTAGACATTCTGTAGAAGCTTTGAAATTTAGAGTCGAATCGCGACGCCGCGTCGTTATTTGCAGGTTTTCATTTAAAAATACGTGAGATGCACTGAAGCGTACGCCTTCCTACAATCGTATCTAATACGCGTCTATGACGAGCAGCTCCGTGTGCAGAAGGCCTTACTCTGACTGTATCGAACCAGTGACGTGAATCTGCGGGGTAGCAATCGATACCACAGAGGCATGGGAATTAGGTAACCTTATGTTCTATAGACCTTGGACGTCGGGTACCACAATTAATTAACACACTGTATTTAAAATGAAAGAAGAAACAATAAAAATCTTATTAAATAATCTTATTTTAATATATTTTTATTTAATATTTTTTTCCTCTTATAATAATAAGTAATATATTATTATTATTAATATAAAAATCCCTATTTAATTACAATATGTACAAAATAATTCCTCATCTATATAAAAAAACATCTATACACTCTTAAATCCACGTAATTAATAACTAATTAACTTAAAAATTAATCATATAATCTCTTAGACTTTATCATCATTTATCATAAAAAAAGAAAATAAATATCTTAATATCCTAATATATAAATTTATCACTAAGCACTAATGACTTTTTCTTTTTCATTTCAATCCCTTTCTTTATCATTTAATTAAAACGTTTTTTCACTTAAAGTTCTGTCGTTGTCTCAATTGGAGAATGATCCCCATACGGATACCCCATATGAGAATAATCCTTCTTCTCTCTAAACATCACATTATCGTTTGTTGGGCTTGCATTCATCTCTTCATCATCAGAAGATCTATCAAAACAAACTCAGTAATAAATTAAAAATCGAGTATTTAAAATTACCTGTGATAAACATGTTCTCCTCTCATCGAATGATTATGATTCGATGTTAAAATATGTTCTCCAACGCTAGAAGCTCTTGCAGTAGTCGCTGATTCACTACTAACGGGACTTTGTTGCCCATATTTATTCAAATTATTATCCTTCGAGATATAACTAACATTCTCCAAACTAAATGTATGATTTTTATTGCTAAAATCTAAATGTAAATCGTTATAATCATCTTGATCATCAACCGGAACACACATCTGTAAAACTTGAGTTTCATACTCCTTCAAATTTGGTTCAACATAAACCGAATCGTAACGACTCGGACTCGCGGGTACCACGTATTGCCGCTGCATTTGATCTTTAAACGATTTATATTTGGACCAAGAAACGCAAATATAAATAATCCCAACGATTCCTAACACAAAAATAATAATTGCGATTATAATTAAGGCGTAGGGAAAAACATCTCCGTGAATCGAAGCGATTGAGGCGGTTTTTATTTTTTGAACGACGAGTGGTTCGTGAATTCCGAATGCGGTGTGTTGGATTTGGCCGGAAATATCAAAAGTGATATTATTCATCGCTGATTTTGCAAGAATCTGATTTTGGATTAGAGTGTGATTTCTTGGTAGGATCGTTTCCGTTTCTGGATCGATTACGTAAAACCAAACGTCCGTTCCGATCGGATCAACTTCCAACGTGCCGTTTTCGCCGATAAACTCGCGGATGTTTATCTTTTCGATCCCAGCAATCAAACCGGATCGATCTTGGATTACTTGAGATACCGTTTCTAATTTATTCGCAACAACATCCGGTTTTGCATCGCCTATTTCTAAGACTAAGCGATTTATTGGAGCGATTAAATTAATTATTAATGTTGCTTCGGTTGAGTGATAATTTTCGGTTGAGTTTGGGTTATCTCTTGCTTCGACCAAGAAGCGGAATGGTTCTGAATTATCGAGTTCTTCGAACGTTTTTTTCGTTTTTATTATTCCCGATGTTGAATCAATTGAGAAATATGATAGAGTTGAGGGTGTTGATGAATCGTTTGATTTTAAGGTGTAATTTATTTTCCCGAATTTTCCGCTGTCTTTATCGTCAGCCTAAAAATTATTTTTAGTCATTAATTGTTACTCCCTCTGTTCCAAATTATTACATTTCTCTTTACAATTTGTCTCAAATTATGGTATACAAAACTTTGGAAACTGCTTTATTGTATTTGAAAAATTAGTAATTCAATTTGTACCTTAATTTAAACATACATTTATGAAAATTTTACACATTTAAACACAATTCAGCTGGTTCAATGTAAACGCCCTTCATGGCGAAGCTTTTCTTTATTCATGAATTTTCATATTTTTCTCGATATCTATGGTTTGTAAGAAAACCATAGATATCATAATATAATTTTGTTAAGAATACAATTTGCTACAACTTTAGTTCGAAAAGTTTTTCTGTAGCATGCTCAGATTCAAATTTATTCAATTTTATAGTTATTGAGGCCATCATGGTTGACTCCATGCACTTTTGTAGTGTCGAGAATACGTTATCTAACTTTTCTTTAGTTAATGCGTCGAAGGCACTTTTAACACAATCTATCAATTCATTCATAGTTTTTGGCGAGGTTTGCTGGCGATTTTGATATTTTGAGAATTCCTGGCTTGAACTTAAGAAATGGTGATATCTATGATAGCATTGGTTATGAATTATGTTATCTTAATTCATTATCATTAATTTTTATGGGACACGTTTTTCTCTATCACCTTTAATTTTCTACTTATAACAGAATTTAACGCAGATGATTGTCAACTTCGATATTTTGAGAATTCCTGGTTTGAACCTAAGAAATGGTGATATTTATGATAGTGCTGGTTATGAATTATGTTATCTTGATTCATTATCATTAATTTTTATAGGATACGTTTTTCTCTATCACCTTTAATTTTCTACTTATAACAGATTTTAGCGCAGATTGTCAATTTTGATATTTTGAGAATTCCTGGCTTGAACCCAAGAAATGGTGATATCTATGATAGCATTGGTTATGAATTATGTCATCTTGATTCATTATCATTACATTTTATGGGAAACGTTTTTCTCTATCACCTTCAATTTTCTACTTATAACTGAATTTTACCGAGATGATTGTCAATTTTGATATTTTGAGAATTCCTGGCTTGAACCTAAGAAATGGTGATATCTATGATAGCATTGGTTACGAATTATGTTATTTTGATTCATTGTCATTAATTTTTATGGGAAACGTTTTTCTCTATCACCTTCAATTTTCTACTTATAACAGGATTTAACACAGATGATTGTCAATTTTGATATTTTGAGAATTCCTGGTTTGAACCTAAGAAATGGTGGTATCTATGATAGCATTGGTTATGAATTATGTTATCTTGATTCATTATCATTAATTTTTATGGGAACCGTTTTTCTCTATCACCTTCAATTTTCTACTTATAACAGAATTTAACGCAGATGATTGTCAATTTTGAGAATTCCTGGCTTGAACCTAAGAAATGGTGATATCTATGGTGGCATTGACTATGGATTATGTTATCTTGATTCATTATCATTAATTTTTATGGGAAACGTTTTTCTCTATCACCTTTAATTTTCTACTTATAACAGAATTTAACGCAGATGATTGTCAATTTTGATATTTTGAGAATTCCTGGCTTGAACCTAAGAAATGGTGATATCTATGGTGGCATTGACTATGGATTATGTTATCTTGATTCATTATCATTAATTTTTATGGGAAACGTTTTTCTCTATCACCTTTAATTTTCTACTTATAACAGAATTTAACGCAGATGATTGTCAATTTTGATATTTTGAGAATTCCTGGCTTGAACCTAAGAAATGGTGATATCTATGGTGGCATTGACTATGGATTATGTTATCTTGATTCATTATCATTAATTTTTATGGGAAACGTTTTTCTCTATCACCTTTAATTTTCTACTTATAACAGAATTTAACGCAGATGATTGTCAATTTTGATATTTTGAGAATTCCTGGCTTGAACCTAAGAAATGGTGATATCTATGGTGGCATTGACTATGGATTATGTTATCTTGATTCATTATCATTAATTTTTATGGGAAACGTTTTTCTCTATCACCTTTAATTTTCTACTTATAACAGAATTTAACGCAGATGATTGTCAATTTTGATATTTTGAGAATTCCTGGCTTGAACCTAAGAAATGGTGATATCTATGGTGGCATTGACTATGGATTATGTTATCTTGATTCATTATCATTAATTTTTATGGGAAACGTTTTTCTCTATCACCTTTAATTTTCTACTTATAACAGAATTTAACGCAGATGATTGTCAATTTTGATATTTTGAGAATTCCTGGCTTGAACCTAAGAAATGGTGATATCTATGGTGGCATTGGTTATGAATTATGTTATCTTGATTCATTATTATTAATTTTTATGGGACATGTTTTTCTCTATCACCTTCAATTTTCTACTTATAACTGAATTTTACCCAGATGATTGTCAATTTTGATATTTTGAGAATTCCTGGCTTGAACCTAAGAAATGGTGATATTTATGGTAGCACTGATTATGAATTATGTTATCTTGATTCATTATCATTAACTTTTATGGGAAACGTTTTTCTCTATCACCTTTAATTTTCTACTTATGACAGAATTTAACGCAGACGATTGTCAATTTTGATATTTTGGGAATTCCTGGCTTAAACCTAAGAAATAATGATATCTATGGTGGTATTGAGTATGGATTATGTTATCTTGATTCATTATCATTAATTTTTATGGGAAACGTTTTTCTCTATCACCTTTAATTTTCTACTTATAACAGAATTTAACGCAGATGATTGTCAATTTTGATATTTTGAGAATTCCTGGCTTGAACCTAAGAAATGGTGATATCTATGGTGGCATTGACTATGGATTATGTTATCTTGATTCATTATCATTAATTTTTATGGGAAACGTTTTTCTCTATCACCTTTAATTTTCTACTTATAACAGAATTTAACGCAGATGATTGTCAATTTTGATATTTTGAGAATTCCTGGCTTGAACCTAAGAAATGGTGATATCTATGGTGGCATTGACTATGGATTATGTTATCTTGATTCATTATCATTAATTTTTATGGGAAACGTTTTTCTCTATCACCTTTAATTTTCTACTTATAACAGAATTTAACGCAGATGATTGTCAATTTTGATATTTTGAGAATTCCTGGCTTGAACCTAAGAAATGGTGATATCTATGGTGGCATTGACTATGGATTATGTTATCTTGATTCATTATCATTAATTTTTATGGGAAACGTTTTTCTCTATCACCTTTAATTTTCTACTTATAACAGAATTTAACGCAGATGATTGTCAATTTTGATATTTTGAGAATTCCTGGCTTGAACCTAAGAAATGGTGATATCTATGGTGGCATTGACTATGGATTATGTTATCTTGATTCATTATCATTAATTTTTATGGGAAACGTTTTTCTCTATCACCTTTAATTTTCTACTTATAACAGAATTTAACGCAGATGATTGTCAATTTTGATATTTTGAGAATTCCTGGCTTGAACCTAACAAATGCTGATATTTATGATAGCATTGGTTATGAATTATGTTATCTTGATTCATTATCATTAATTTTTATGGGAAACGTTTTTCTGTATCACCTTTAATTTTCTACTTATAACAGAATTTAACGCAGACGATTGTCAATTTTGATATTTTGTGAATTCCTGGCTTGAACCTAAGAAATGGTCTTATCTATGGGAGCATTGGTTATGAATTATGTTATCTTGATTGATTATCATCAATTTTTATAGGAAACGCTTTTCTCTATCACTTTCAGTTTTTTAATCATAACAGAATTTAATGTAGATGATTGGCAATTTTGATATTGTGGGATTTCCTGGCTTGTGTATAAGAAATTGAGATAATTATGGTGGTATTGCTTATGAATTATGTCATCTTGATCCATTATCATCAATATGGAACCAAGCAACTTGGATCTAATGGCTGGAAACGTTATCGATAATCATCTTTTTGCATTCTGCTGCGTTAATAGACTCGATGTTTTTGGTTACCATTGTTCTTCTTACCCGGTTCTTGCTGTTTCTTTTTGTAGGTTCTTTATAAACAAAAAGCCAGAGTCTTTTAGCACTGTCATAGCGTGGTCTGGCCACTGCAGCCATAAACATAACTTTAGTTATGAACCGTTTGCTTTTACAGCGCCTTTCTGGTTCTGTGTCGTTCAGCGTTATGTAGTATGACCTTTTAACTTGCGTTGAGACTTACATATCCTCAAAACATCGATTTGATTTAACCTTCGATAAACAGAACTCTAGTTTCTTTCATTAATTAAATTAAGATTACATTATATTATAGTAAATAGATAGAAACTCGTTAATTCTCCAAACTTTCCTTAATCCATAAATTTTAGAGAAATGTATACCATAATTTGGGACAGAGGGAGTACAAATTATTTAAAAATTAATTAAACTGACCTTCATTTGTATCACAGTTGTAGCTAAAGGTGCACCAATCGGCAACGCCGCGTACAATTTCTCCTTAGAATTCCCATTGTAAATAAAAAACGGCTCGTTATCATTCACGTCCAAAACGTTTACGTTAACTTGCGTTTTACTAAATTCTTTATTTAAAAATCCTTGAAGTGATATCAATTCAACGTCGACGTTGTAAGATTCGACAGATTCAAAATCAATCGTTCCGTTTAAATAAAGTGCACAATTTCGTTCTTCAGTTACATTAACGAGAAATTTTGCTTAAAAAAAACGTTTAAGTTAATAAATAAATTTTGAGTTGTTTTCTTTGAGACGTTTCGAGATTTACTGACTCGGTTGGATAATAATAAATAAGTTGAGTCATGAGTGAATACCTAGGACGTGCCTGCAATTTTAATGAGGCTATACACGTTAAGTTTGTTTTTTAAATTTATTCGAAACGAGGTTAAATTCTTAAATACTAAAATTATAATAAAAAAATGAAACAATTAAAATTAACTCACCATCATCATTTCCCGAAATTATCGTACACTTTAACGGGATATTTCCACCATGAGCTCGACTATTAACAATCGTTAAAGTCTTCACTAAACTCCCCAGAGTTGAATTCTCTGGTAATTGAATGCTATAAGAATTATCAGCGAAACGGAGCCCAACTTCCGGTGCTACCGTCGCTACGTGTTGAATATAAACATCTAAAGTGATAACGGAAGAAAGTTGGGGTTCACCTAAATCATAAGCTCTTACGTCCACCTAAAAAAAAATTAATTAACAAAAAATAAATTAAAAAATAACTCTTTTACTTGATATTCGGTGTCTACTTCTTTCTTGAGATCATTGGTGACTTTGAGCTGGCCGGAATCGGGATCTATTTGAAAATACTTGGTGGCTTTGCCCCTCCCGATGATTTCGTAACGAACCTGGGTGACAACAAAGAAGGTCGTTTCATTAATGCCCACGTTTATTATTTTCATCGGGTGGTTTCGAAAGCGCGCCGCGCAATTGTGTGCCTCGGCCGAGGTATAAATATTTAAGGCATAGGAATGTGGAAAAAATCTTCATCTCGAGGTGTCGGCGAAAGTAAATTTATTGTCGTTGTGATGAATGCAATGTGCACTTATGCATGGAATAAATCTAGTAAATTAATTTCTTTTTAATAAATTAATTTTGTTAAAGAAATAAAGTAAAAATATATGCAAAAAATTTAAGGAATTTAAATTTTTTGGAGAAAGTTGTTTTTTTTTTCTAGTAAAATAGATTATATAGAAGATATGAAGAATAGAAAGCTTTAGCTGAAACACTAGATAATGTGCAAGAATTCGTAAATCGGCTTCATCTATGCATAGAGCAGAGACGGGAGACATTTGAACACTTATAAATAAAGTTTGGTTGAGAATTATTCATTGTTTTCTTTTTAAATTATTATTAATGCTTAATCACGTATTTTCATGAAGTTATTTCTTTTGATTAATACACAATATCTCAAAAACTTCAACTTGTAGGTATAGAGACATGTACTGAAGATTTTTAATTTGTAGGGAATTAAATTCTCTATCTGATAAGCTAGTCAAATATTATGTTGCATTTAAAATTTTCGACTTTTTTACAATTGAATATGGTAAAACAGTAGTTATATTTGAATACCTTGTATAAGATAGACTTATGTAGCCAATGGCACTCTAATTAAGGTATCCAAGCAGCAACTCTCACAAATTATAACTTTCTAGCTCCATCAGTCGCTAAGAAATTCAGATTTAAAGAACACTGTTGATTGCTAAAAAAAGCGTCTAATTAAAATAACTCAAAAACTAAAAGCGGTAAGTATCAACATATCTTATCAAAGTCAACATATTTTGGTGTGTAGAATTAGAACACGCAATAAAAACTATATCATTCCATTTAAAATAACATATGTTTATTTCGGTACGTCGTTATGAAACACCTGTATGTATAAAAACATTTTCCGTTTATAGTGTGGTAAATTTCCTACAACTTTTGTATAAGAAAGAACTGTGTATCTCCGCTTCTTAATACTATTTATGTACTTTGCCGCTTACGTGGGACAACATGTATATACAGGCTGTTTCAGGTTTTTGTAGCAGGACTTTAACAGTCGATAGATCTTTTAAAATTAATACATAAACTTAATAATATAAACATAAGTCGACAAACGCTTTGTTTTGGAAATATATGATATTCAAATTAAATTTTTAAATTAATTTTTTTTTAATACTACACGTGTATTTCAACCGATTCTATTCAACTTTGGTATTCTTTTTGGCATGAGAAAGACGATTATGAAGTACGTTTTACTATAGCCGGTAGAGGGCACTCTGTATGTATTGTTTACGGATTAAAATAACCATAACTTTTCTGATAGTATACTTTTTGGCTTTTTGAGTAAAAGTTCTTATTCTGTGTACTTTTTGAAACAAAAAAGATATTCTTATCAAAATGCGCTAAAGTTCACCTGTTTTTGTTTTACACATAAAAACTTTATAAAATGCCGTTTATTTCTTCTATGCAAGAATTAGCAGATATTCATTTTGTTTATGGGTATACAACCGGAAACTCAGCAGAAGCAGCCCGAGAGTAGGAGAACATATCCAAATAGAAGACATCCGTATCCCTCTCTGTTTGTAAAAGTGCTTAGACAAATGGTTGAACAAGGGCTGAATAATGATCGGGCAGATCGTAATAATGACAATGTTAGACTGCAAAGAAACTACTACGAGTGTTAGAAGAGTTTCGAATGCCTTGTGTGGACTGATGAATCCTGTTTCACAAGATGTGGTACAATCCCACATCATGGATATATATTGTACATTAATAGATTCAGAAAAAAATCTCTATCCAATAACGCGAAGAAAAACATACCGAGCAATTTGAAAACCAAAAGGTGATAATCGCTTGAAATTGAAGATGGCGTTGGAAAAAGTTTATTTGTAGCATGAATCATAGTATTCATCAAACCTTTTCATTTGATTCCTCGCTCATGAAAATCGGAATGTAAATGACAGAGTTACAACTTGGGGCGTTTTTTATCTGATACCCTGTATATAGCGAATATCTCGAAAACGGTTCATTTAACATAAAAATGATCATTAAACTTGTTCTTCTGTGCGAAGGGAAAACCATATGGCAACAACACTTATGACCTTGACTTTATTTTGAAGGTAATCTGAAGGTCACGACCAATTTTTTTACATATTTGATTGTAAAATTTCAGTCTATGACAAAAGTAATTCTTGGGAGACTAAACAAAACTTTCCCCTTCGTATAGAACAGGTTTTATTTGAATAATTTTTATGTTAAATAGACCAGGTATGTACAGACATAATAATATATGTATGTATATACAGGTGTCAGATAAAAACGTCTCAAGCTGGAACTCTGTTATTTATATTCCGAGTTTCTTGAACAAATAAAATTTTCTAACGCTCAGAAAAATCTCTTTTTTGGTAATTATATATACAGGGTGAGTCTGGAGGAACGGACCAAACTTTAGGAGTGTATACGGGCTTATTCACGGTCAAGCATGCTCGTCATGCATGCTGTTCATGCCGTTTCTTATACCAAACAAACCGTCTATGTAGCCCCATCCACGGTCAATCTTCCATGATAGCTTGCGATGCTCGTCATGCATGCATGACCGTAGACATGCCCCTTATTGCACGCTTGAAAATAATGTAAAAAAACTCAAATGTTGTTATCCGATTTTCATTTCTTTTTTCATTTTTGACAAGAGCTCTTAATAAACGAAGCCAGAAATGTTTAGAAGTTAATGACAATATTTTCGAACAATTATTAAAATAGCGCTGATGATCAATATTTAATGTTGATGTATAAGATTTTGTTTAATTCTAGTTATGCAGTAAGAGTCACTTCGAACCAGTTTCTGAAGAAGGTTGCAACATGGCATCCGAAACGTCAAACCTTTTATTAAAAGACGCACGGCAAAACCCGAAAGTTTCTAGTGTTAGTTCTAGTTTTAGTTCTAATCTTAGTTTAATGCAGTAAGAGTTATGCAATAAAAAAAAAAGAAAATAAAAGAAAATCGGATAAGTACATATCACTTTTTTTACATTATATTTTAGTGTACAACACACTCCTAAAGTTTGGTCCGTTCCTCCCGACTCACCCGGTATATATATTTTAAATGAAAAGTTTAAAAACTTTTGGCTCGCTTATATATAAAAATTCATTTACTTTTTCTATCTATTGACTCAATAAATTTAATACTTACAGAAATTATTTAATTTTCCGAACACGTTGTAATTATTTTTTCAAATTTTAACACATGCGCATTGGTTATTTGTTATTCTGGTCTCTCGAGCAAACAAAAAGTATAACCACTTTTCCTTGCAATTCAACCATTATTTTGTAACTTTTCATTGTAACGTCGTAATTGTAATTTATTTTGGTTTAGTTAAGTTTTGAACGCCAACTTTCTCTAATGACAAGTAAGTTAACGACAAGTACTTTTTAGTAGTAAGTTTATAACAAATCTTAGTCATTAATTGTAGCGCTTCTGAAGATGACCTTATAAGGCCGAAACATGTAAAGCGCGATTTATATTAACTATAAAACCGGTACAAAAGTACAAAATTTTAATCATTGATATTTTTAAATCAAATATAAATTTTTAAAACTACTGGTAAAATGTATTTTGTAATCAATATTGACCAAATATTAATAGTGCTAGATTAAAAAAAAAATCCTCTTTCATATCCCGTAATGAAAATGGGGTAAAATTTAAAATCTACACAAAATAATTGCAATAAATTTAAATCTTTAGATCCGTTTCAGGGATTTTTCCATAAACCGTTTATAATGATTTTATCACCTATATCCGTTACTTTACAGACACACTGTATATGGTAATGCGTAGTACTTCACGGATGGAGAAGTATGTGTTGTTGACTGAGTCTGCCGACAGGAGACTACGACAACGCACCGAAGATGTCAGGTGAGATCTTGGCGAAAAGATCTTTCCAAAGAGAACCAACAGGAAGAATGGAAGAAATCTCGTATCGATCACAACAACACATGTATATACAGGGTGATTCTCAACCTATATGCATAAACTTGGGAATTTATTCCTGGAGACAAATAATGGGTAGTAGGTGAAAAAATTGTAGTGAAAGATTTTTAGTTTCATAGATATCCGATATATGCGACGACATTTAAATAAGGAAGAATGGACAGGTCGAGGTAGTCTTGGTACTCTTGATTTCTATTTTTGGGGTCTCTTAAAAAGCATAATGTACGTCCGTCACCAAAGTTAATATTGAGTAAGGATTGCGAAATCAGATACAAACTGTTGCCGAGACAATCCGTCAACACCCTGGTTTAGGTCGCGCTATCATATCATCTCCAAAGCGTACAGTCTTTGCTTCCGGATATCATCTTACACAGCAACACCAAACTATCTCATCTATTTAGAACTGATACCACCACACTTATTTCATCTTCTCCAAAAAAATGTTTACATGCATTTGAGTGTGTCGCTTGCTCACGTTCTTTTGATTGCAAGAGTTGTGCACACAATTCTCTTTAAATTCTTTCTTTCTCTGTTAAATTCTCTTCTCGTATGAAGCGAGATGAGTTCTTGGCCTCAACTAAATTGTTTCGCAGAAGTAGTGGCACCCCGGCTTCAACGGGCATTCAAGTACCTAACGTTTCCGATAGGCTTTTCGTCAATGAACACCTTACTGCTCGCAATAGCGAGCTGCTTAAGAAAGTTAAAGAGGCTGCTCGCGTAAAGCAGTATAAATATGTATGGACACGAAACTGCACCATTCATGTTCGAAAAGAGGACAGGAGTAAGGCAATGACAATTGCGTCTGAGACGGACTTACAGAAACTGTAAAGAATTTGTCTTCTGTCTTGTTTTTATTCTACGAATCACTTCTCTCAT